GTGACGGGTGGGTTTTCACGTCGTTCCTTCATTAGCCCTAAAGTCTCTTCCGAAAGCTTTGACTTCCTGCCCTTACGCTGCGTTGCACATAGTTTCGTACCCTCTTCCCTGAGAATCCGAACCACATTTTCGAGGTTTTGGTTTACGTCTGATGTGGTTTCCACGGCAGCAAATCGGTTCTCCAGATTTGACTGGAACGTTTCAGATCCTGTTATAGATTGGAGCAAAGTAGGTTGGAGCCTGGATTTCATTAAATGGACGCGCTCGGCCTTAAAGTTGATATTCAGAGAGCCCCGGACGAGTCGGTGATCACAACCGGTATTGAACCTGTTGATCACGGAGACGTCTCTGAATATGTACCTCTTGTCCGTCATGATGAAATCGATCTCATTTTTAGTCATTTTTAGCCATGTCCACTTCCTTTGGGGCTGTTTCTTGAAAAAAGAGTTCATCAAGAAGAGCCCCTGCTGTTCGAGGAAGTTGACGAGCATTTGCCCCCTATGATTTCTGCTTCCAAATCCATGGGATCCTACTACCGATTCGCTGCAATTCTGTACTCCCACTTTAGCGTTGAAGTCTTAGTAGTGGAGTGGAGGGCCCTCGATATATCATCGAACATATCCTCCACTTCGTCGTCCGAGTGTGTCGAGGTCGGTGCGTACACTTGCACCACCTTGAGGCTATACCTCTCGGTGAGCTTTATAATAAGGTACACTACCCTGTTCGACACGCTGGACATTTCCACAACGTTATCGGCAAGGGACTTATTTACCAAAAACCCAACGCCACCTTGGGACTGTTGGTCTCCCCCGCGGAAGTACATTAGGTGGCCCGATTCGAGGGTTATGGTGTCCTCCCCCTCTCTTCGGACTTCACTTAACCCTAAAATGTGCCACCTAATCTTTCCAAGTTCCACCTCGAGTTGCGCCAGATGCGAGTCAAGCCGTAGCGTGCGTCCGTTGTACGTCGCCAGGGTCAGTCTTTTGTGGTGGCCTCCCGTAGCCCGGAGATTCTTGGCACCCCCTGCCCCACCGTTACCGTGGTCGCCACCGTGACCAGGAATAGCGGGGCTGCCGGGAACTGGGGGCCGTGGCTTGAGTTTCTTGTGCATGAAGGTTTTGCCCATAATCGCCACGCTGGGCAGGCGGGTTGGCGATCGCAGAGCGTAGGTTTATTTACTGATGACGCTGCTGCCCGTCACCAGTGACATTTTCCTCCCCTACGTCATTGGATGGTTATACCGCCATCGGTCGGTTTGCCAGAGCCTCGTCTGTTGGTCAACAGGGTGCACCACGTGAAGGTGAGGTTGGCTTGGGTTCTTGCAGGTGTATTTAGAACCCCTTACACCCCCAGTGTATTTAGAACCCCTTACACTCTCATCAATACCTGACGATATTTTTCAATATTATATTGGATTTTCTAAGGCCCTGTTTACCCAAGTCTTGGAGAGTACTCCAACTATTACAAGGAAACATCCAAAAGCAGCTACAGCTTTAGCTACTCTTTTAGTTAAGCTACATACAGGAGAACCGAACCAGAGATTATGCAGTATATTTAAAATGGCACGATCAACGTTTGAAGAAAAAATGAATAGCGTTATAAACGCTTTGATGGATGAATTTGTGCCAAGATATATGGGATATAATCATATTACTAGAGAAGAAGTTATATCGCGATGCCTGGCTATACCCAATGCTTTGTTCGATGGCCGGGATGGAGAGGAACGAGCCATTACCATCCACGATGGCACCTATATATACCTGCAAAGAAGTACAAATTATTATTTTCAGAGAAAGTCTTACAGTCTGCATAAATGGCAGCAACTGTACAAACCCTATCTAATGGTCTGTCCTGACGGCCACATCATAGACATATACGGCCCTTATGAAGCTACAACCTCAGACGCTACAATTTTAAATACTATGCTTGTAAATCGTCAAGATCCGTTGAATTGGTTCTATAGACCTAATGACGTGTTTATTTTGGATCGGGGTTTTAGAGATGCCGTTGGTCGGCTCGAATCTGCTGGTTACAATGTACAGATGCCAATATTGAGCACTAGAGGAACCCAGTTAAGCACAGAACAAGCGAATGAGTAAAGAAAAGTGACAATGTGTCGCTGGGTTGTAGAAACCATTAACGGCCGTCTTAAAAATCAGTTTAAACTACTAAGGAACGTAGTAAATAATAGAGCCCTTGGACATTTATTTAATGAAATTAAAATAGCAGAGGCTCTGCTCAATGCCTTTGGGCGTCCGTTGATGGATCACAGGTTAGTGGCAGATATTCATCAACAAATAACAAGAACAGCAAATATTGAAAATCATTTGGCAGCGTACGTCATAGAGAATAATCTCAACGCTGTAAGAGCGCGTTTCCAAGCTATTACAGCTGGAGATCTAGCCGTAAATGATTTTCCACTGTTGAGTCTGGACGACCTCATCGTTTTTGCAATGGGAACCTATCAATTGAAACAGGCCCGCAGTTACTATGGAGAACATATAAAAATAAATGGGTTTTACAGGATTGAAGTGTGTAGGGAACAACATATACATGATCTGAGACGATATAATATTATGGCATCTAACTCATGGCTATTGAGAGGACGAATCCAGTCACGCCACAGACAAGCTAAAACTTATTACACTTACGTTTTAATAGAAGAGGGTATGCAAGGCATACAAGCGATACACGCTCATTACTGCAGCTGCGTCGTGGGTAAACGCACTCTGGGGTGTTGTTCACATACCATGTCAATTATATGGTATTTAGGGTACGGAAGACATCAAGAAAATCTAACCCCACCCGCTATTTTACTAGATGATATAATAATTCGACACGATGTTGAAAACGAAGCCGATGAATCGTCTGATGACGAAATGTAATATTATGTTGTGCAATATATTAAAAAAAATTACATGTATGATAATTTTTTTTTGTACCACAGAATTTTATTTGCAACTCAAACCTCGTAAAGTATTATGCGTTAGTACTGAATAATGCTCAGTAGTGTAAGTAAACGGAAAAATGTGACCATTACATGATTTTGTTTTTCTCCTGACCTTTAGAGACTGAACTCGCACCGAGTTTAGCTATACATGCCAGAATTTCTGTATGTTACTTTATTTTGTATCCAAATAATAAGACTTGCTTAGTAACCACACAAAATAAATGAACATTAAAGATCTTCCTTCTAACCACACCTAACCCTTCTCGAACTGAGTGTAGCGGTCGATATATATGCCATTATTTTACATTATTTCGTAACTTGCAAGGTTTGCTTATAGCCACGCCCCGAGATTTTTTTTCATATCTTCAGAACACAGCTCAGACCTCAGATCAATGATATTTTTTTTAGTTTATAATCAACTCAGACTGAGTTTAAAACTATAAAATAATGTATGTGTCATAATAAGTTTTATTTGTTACGTTATTCTGTACCTAAATAACAGGATTTGGATAACAACTGAACAAAAAATCAATTCCTTTTTTCTTCTTATATTTCAGCTCAGGCTAAGTTGAACTTTAGAATACTTATATAATAAATAATGAGAGTGGCAGAAAATCGGGAGCAGTGGCGTGCATTAGGAGAGACCTATGTCCAGCAGTGGACGAGCATGGGTCGATGATGATATAATAAATAAACAAAACTTATATCTGATAGTCTCTGTCTCAAACAACAAAGACAGACTGATACATATCTTTATATATATAATTCTTATGTGAGTGTGTATGTCACTGAACTTCTCTTAAACGACTGGACCGATTTTGATGAAATTTTTTGTGTGTGTTCAAGGGGATCTGAGAATGGTTTAGATTCACAATTTTGTCCGCTGGACAACCCCTATTTTTTTAGGGCGGTACAAAGTTCGCTGGGTCAGCTAGTATTATAATAAGTTTTATTGTATATTTAATAAGGTTTAGTAAATATCTCTTCTAATCTATTGACTCACCTCGGACTGAGTTTAGCGATATACATGGCATAATAAGTTTTGTTGTTACGATAGTCCATACCCAAATAACAAGGTTTGACCAACATCTACGCAAAAAAAAGTTTTTTTTTTCTCTTCTAACCTTTATAACTCAGCTCGGACTGAGTTAAGCGATATACATGGTATAATAAGTTTTGCTTGTTACATTCGTCTATACCAATAACAAAGTTTGACCAATATCTGTGCAAAAAAAGAAATATTTTTTTCTCTTCCAACCTTTATAACTCAGCTCGGACTGAGTTTAGCGATAATAAGTTTGCGATAATAAGTCCATGGCGTAATAAGTTTTGTTTGTTACGTTAATCTTTACCAAAATAACAAGGTTTGATTAACATATGCGAAAAAAAAATTTTTTTTTGAAGTTATACTTCTTTAGGCGCGTTATGAAAAAATGATGAGAGTGAAATTTTAAGATGCGCGCGCATCACTGTTGGTCGCTTTAGCGACCAACTTCATGCTGTTACTTTTGTGTTTACCGCACATTAAGTAAAATCTACCAACAAAATAGAAATAGAATCTCTATTTTGTGGGTGCTAACGACTGAATTGTGAAGGCCTATCAAAAGTATTTATTAATCTGGAACAACGGAACCAAAGCGCGATTCAGGAGACTACAGCGCCATCTCTTGACCATTGGTGTAGTAGAACCAAAAACCACATCTTTATTTTTTCTATCATTTATAACTCAGCTCAGACTGAGTTTAGCGATATACTCGGCATAATAAGTTTTGTTTGTTACGTTAGTCCATACCCAAATAACAAGGTTTGACCAACACTGCGCAAAAAAAAAATTTTTTTTTCTCTTCTAACCTATATAACTCAGCTCGGACTGAGTTTAGCGATGTACATGGCATAATAAGTTTTGTTTGTTACATTGTCCTCTACCTAAATAACAAGGTTTGGTCAATGGCCGCGCGAAAAAAAAGGGCGCCACCTTCCATACAAAATCCGGCATTGTCCTTTGTGAAAGCTTCCTTCATGTATATGAAGAAGTTGAATATTAACTCACTTGGTGGGCATTCGCAGCTGATATACTCAAAAGGTAATCGTTGCGAGCGCCTGTGGATTTCTCTTCCAACTGGTCTCGCCGGGAGGACACCTTAGCGCTGTTCTTCTGTAAGGATGTGATAGACTGAAAGAACGATCCTTTCTTCTTCTTTAACCTGCACAGAATAAACGTAGGTGACATAATTTATCAGTTGCCTTTTATAATCAATCTTTAAATTTTATTTTGATTCATAGCTGTTTTTCAATTGAGCGAGTGACTAGTTGTAACCTACATGGTTAGGGAACCTCAAAGTTTGCAAATAGTCCAGGCAACGAAAAGGTATAGAGGGAAATGCTTAGAACACAATTTTTGACTTCGTGACTTTGTTAGGACTAGTTAGGAGGTAAACATATCAAAAGTCCCCGCCCGTAGCCCTTAAGCCAGGGGGAGGGGGGGAGGGGGGGCTTGAAGGTCCCATTTTTAGGTTTTTCGCATATATCTCGAAAACTATGCATCCTAGCGACATGAGACTTTCACAAAAGTGAAAGCTGATTAAATTTGCTACAAGTCTTATTCAGTCAAATTTTTTGATATCTTGTATAGTTTTCGAGATAACCGCTCTTGAAAGTCTGTAATTATGGAAAAAAAAATTGTTCCCATTTTTGCTCTATTTGACCGGATAACTCTTCAGCAATGCACCCAAAAAATAAATGCCGGCCGTAGGGTTGTAGAGCATTAAATTATCTTCAATAATAGAAACAATTGCCCTTTTTTTTTATTTAAGGACAAAATTGTTAGGGTTGTAGACGTATGGGGGCGGTACGGTGGGCACTAGGCCGCGTACTCAGCCCCCACGCGCGGGCCGTCCTGCGCACGTCTGTGGGGTCCTCGCGATACCCCGGGAGACCCCTGCCGCGGAACCTCGGCAAGGCCGGGAGGATGCTAGGTGCGGAGACGCGGAAGAATCCCTAAACGGGGATTCTGCGGCTTCGCACTAAGCAGCTTAGAGGGTGTTCGCAGGGTTTTTTAGCGGATATTATGCCGTAAAGCGCCCGTAAGGGTTACGGGGTCCTCAGTGGGCAGCCACTGCTGGGGCTCGTAAGGCTTGCGGGAGCCAGGTGTGAGGTCCATAAGTAAAAAAGAAAGTAAATTAGTGTCATTGAGAAACTGTAATTATCTAATAATAATATCTGTAATAATGATATCCGCTCTTAAAAATCTGTAATTATGGAAAAAAAAATGCTTTACATTTATGCTCTATTTGACCGGATAACTCTCGAACCCTTCAACGATGCACCGATGTCTAAATAGCACACATGCTCATTTTAGAATATGTACTTGTTGGCCCACTGACCAGGTTCTTCACACTTAATCCAGAAAATAAGTTTAAAAAAACTGTAAGAGTTAACTACTTTATGCAAAATGAGCATGTGTGCTATTTAGACATCGGTGCATCGTTGAAGGGTTCGAGAGTTATCCGGTCAAATAGAGCATAAATGTAAAGCATTTTTTTTTTCCATAATTACAGATTTTTAAGAGCGGATATCATTATTACAGATATTATTATTAGATAATTACAGTTTCTCAATGACACTAATTTACTTTCTTTTTTACTTATGGACCTCACACCTGGCTCCCGCAAGCCTTACGAGCCCCAGCAGTGGCTGCCCACTGAGGACCCCGTAACCCTTACGGGCGCTTTACGGCATAATATCCGCTAAAAAACCCTGCGAACACCCTCTAAGCTGCTTAGTGCGAAGCCGCAGAATCTCCGTTTAGGGATTCTTCCGCGTCTCCGCACCTAGCATCCTCCCGGCCTTGCCGAGGTTCCGCGGCAGGGGTCTCCCGGGGTATCGCGAGGACCCCACAGACGTGCGCAGGACGGCCCGCGCGTGGGGGCTGAGTACGCGGCCTAGTGCCCACCGTACCGCCCCCATACGTCTACTACCTTAACAATTTTGTCCTTAAATAAAAAAAAAGGGCAATTGTTTCTATTATTGAAGATAATTTAATGCTCTACAACCCTACGGCCGGCATTTATTTTTTGGGTGCATTGTTGAAGAGTTATCCGGTCAAATGGAGCAAAAATGGGAACAAATTTTTTTTCCATAATTACAGACTTTCAAGAGTGGTTATCTCGAAAACTATACAAGATATCAAAAAATTTGACTGAATAACACTTGTAGCAAATTTAATCAGCTTTCACTTTTGTGAAAGTCTCAAAATGGGACCTTCAAGCCCCCCCCCCCCCTCCCCCCGGCTTAAGGGCTACGGGCGGGGACTTTTGATATGTTTACCTCCTAACTAGTCCTAACAAAGTTACGAAGTCAAAAATTGTGTTCCAAGCATTTCCCTCTATACCTGTTTTTGAGCATTCGTTGCCTGGACTAAAACGTTTTCGTCGATATTAATAAACTGTTATAAAAACCTTACTATTGAAGTTCAATTCACGTTGTCTAAATTCAAAGTCAGCTATATTTTATTACAAGCTTTTATATAGTTTGGCTTGCACCGACACTTAAAATTTATCCACTTCCCGGTCTTAAAATAAGCTGAAACTTTGCATGCATGTAATGTGTAAATGGTATAATAATTCGATAGGATTATGAAATCAATCTGGCGAGAAAGGGAGCCGAAAGGTGGCCATGGGAATTCTTATCATAATAATGCAATAGCGTAGATGAGAGTTTGATGATAGAGCCAGAAGGTAACCCTTAAGTTTTGGCAATAGGATCATAAAGCAAAATTATTACGACTTCAATCTTGATTTAATAATGGAGCTGGGAGGTGGCCTGGATTGAGTGCACGTAAATGCACTCTGTAATGCAATCCCAACTAATTTAGCCTCTTTTAATTAGTCTTATTACGAACTCTAGTCCTAGACTACATAGAAGGTCTGATGATTGACAAAAAAAATATTTACAGTAGGTAGACATGGGATATAACTAAAACGGTTTATTAATAAGCTTTAGCATTTACAAGAAATTAATCATAAGCAAGAGACAGTACCCCATCTATCGAAAAATGGGACAGTGCAAAAAGCTTTACTTCATCGCTGAATCATGATTGAAACCAAACCTCAAGAGATAAAGAGCGCCGACAGGTATGCTGATGGCTTAAAAATTTATAAAGCTGCTGTAAACGTAATAATAAATATAGGTAGCAGCAAACTTCTTGAGCAAAACCATAGATAAATAAACTTGCGCAGTAGACGTTTTTGTACGTGAAATTGCTACTACGCAAGCTTCCTCTATGGTGGATGCTAAAGAAATTGTCGGGGTGTATTATAATGCTTTATACAGCGATATAGCAGAGATACATAATTCAGACCCTCACCAATATTGAAAGTCGCACGGTATCACTCGACCAGGGCTATCATAAGCAATTTAGTAATTATTCAGTTGCCAATCGAACAATTCAGCGTGTTTGCGCTGGCTTCAATACTGATACAAAGGGCAACAATTTTCAAGGTAATAATGTGTTTTAAATGTAATTAATTGCATAGATTATTTCTTTGACATAAGTTTTACCTGTCTAGAACATTGTTACTCGTCTGGCAGAAATATGAATACCTGAAATTGTTAGGTCTCATTAGCTCGATAAATATGTGATTGATATTTCAAAATACTTTTAATGATTTTTTTTTAATATAAATTTTACCTAGGTATATTGTTTGTTTATTCAATAATCTGCCTCTTATAGGTACTCAAAATATTCTTGTGTAAAATGAGTGAGTATGTATTCTTAGAAAAATAAAGGTTTTATACCTTAACTCAAAAGCGCTCTACAATGAAATGCAACATTCAGGTTACAAAAGATTCTTTGAAATTGAGCTTTGTTTCATCTCTTTAACATGAAAATTTATTTTATTTTTTAAGCATTTAACTGCTAGGTATTTAAATCTAAAGAAATTCGACACGGCCGTTAAGGTAGCGGTAGCATAATTGGTCAGTGCATCCGCCCGGATAGCGGAGGGTGCGGGTTTGAGTCCCGCCTGCTGCTTGGACCGCATGAAACTTACTAATAAAATTTTCTTTAAAAATTTACATGGTTGTCTTACGAAATGTGAACACTGTAATACCCTCAATAAACTCAGAATCAGTACCCTTATTTATCACAAACTAATAACGAATTCAATCTCGATACGCGTCAGGTATCAGAAGTTTTGTATGGAAGATTTTTAATTCTCGTTACGTCCATTGTGTCGCTGCGCTGTTCAATACAAAACTTTTTGACATTTAACGCGTATCGAGATCGAGGAATTCGATGTTGGTTCGTGCTAAAGGTACAGAATAATAAAGATATTTCCTACCTAACAAGGTAATATAGTTCGCTGTCAATAGTATGAGAGATCATACTTTAATGACAATAAAATCTGCACTCATTCAGTCAAAAAAAAATTATCTCATAGTGACTACCGCTAAAAAGAGTCTTACTTGGTGTTAAGAGCCAAGCTGCTTGCTTTTTTTTGACTTAGAAAAGTCGCTAACTAACCATATTGAACAGAATATTTCATGCTATGGGTAGCAATTGATCACACTGCCAGCAGCGTGCCTAGGTAAGTGACTTGCATAGTATCTAATAATAATAAATAAAAAAAAAAAGTTTATTTGGCACAAATTACAAAAATAACTTATTGTGTACCAAACAGGCCACTGCTCAGTATATATCGAGGCAACATGTGCCACGACACTGATTTCAGCATATAGCTTAAGTCTCTACATTAAGAAGATAGACTTAGTAGGTACTTATATAAACTAAGTGTAAGCGAGGCTTTTTGTAGCATTTGACCTATTATTATTTCAGATTTTTTGACCTACTCGGCCCTAAATCGGACTAATCATTGCGACCTAAAAATATATTGCGAATCGCCGCCAAATTAAAATATCTCGTAAAGTGCGATAGCTTTTAGGGAGCTTAAATATTTTTAACTATTGCAGATTTCTATTATTCTGGGCGAGTTATGCCATCATGAATACTCCGTTTATGGATTTGAAACCCATAATCTCATGGAAGATATTTTGGTGTTTCACGCTCCTGATTGCAGTACCTCAAATATAAGGTATGTCATTTCATATGGTATTGGTGTCTGTTAAGTTTACAGCATGGTGTTCAGCCATTGACCTAATTTCACATAACTGATTAAAGTTACCTACTATAGCAGCCTATTAACGATTACTTAACAAGGGCCCAAGCAAGAATTTTTGACAGCTCCGTAACGTATCGCCATTGTAAAATTTTGTATGGAAAAAGCTAGATTGTTCTTACGTCCGTTTTTATAGGAACTTTGATGTTGTGATTAGAGGATTCGATCCCGGTCGATTTTTCGGGATTATCTACATTTAATCCCGGGATTGTATTGGTAATAGAAAGTGCTAAGAAAAAGACAGTAAAACATATCACAACTTTTTATTTTAAATCTTTAGTTAAATCATTTATTTTAAATCTTTAACTAACAAAAAATAAACTCCTGATAATATAAACATACTAGGCACTTGAAACTATTTCATAAATTATTAACAGAATTGCCTTGTTTGTTTATTTTATTTAACAACAAACATAAAAAAAAATCAACTTCTTAAGATATGTGTTGATATACTATGAAAAAGACCATAGGTGGTCCTTCATTATTTTGGTCCGTTGAGGAAGATGCCTTAGCAGAATCTACTTTCACGGAATGTTTTGAAGATAGATGAGTATGAAGTTCTTTGGTTGATCCTCCTAAGGTCTTTAAAAAAGCTGAGCAACACTTACATTGTGCTGAGCTACCCGTTTTATCGACTAAAAACGACTCCACACTGACGAAACATCTTCATCTTTTTTATGCTTGACATCAAAACTTTCTTTGGATAATGACATTGTTTACTTCTTAAACCTAAACAAAACTGAAAAGAACATTTAAGTCTATGCACAACATAAACATAACCTCTTGAGCTACAGAAAATATACTCGTTGTTTGTCATTCATATTTACTCAGACACATTAATGCATTGGTTGTTTTTTTAATAAATTCATTGATTACCAAAGTAAGTAAAATCCTAAATGGCCCGGGACACCAGGTTTTAAAATACGCCCCTGGATACCATACTCTACCGCATTAAAACTGTGTAGGTTAGAGTAGAATGGATGACGATAATGATCACGAAAAGATATATCGAATGCCCTTTTATATCGCCCCCCCCCCCCCCCCCCCACTAACCCTTCGATCCACATACAGCGGTTTACCTAAAAAGCAGATTTAGGTTTCTGAGTGATTCTCATGAGCGTGTTCTCCGTTCAACGGACAATCTCCTTCTGCATACTCCCGTCCATTCTTCTGGTTTCGTCTCCTACTCTTTCACTGTCACGGCTGTACGACTCTGGAATGACTTGCCCCCCAATATACGTAAAGCTCCTAACAAACTTGCATATAAGAGATTGTTCGTGAGCACTATCTCAATAGCATTAAACAGCGTTCTCATATTTGACTGACATAATCGTATACCTATGTATGTATTGTATATATGAATATGCACAACATAAACATAACCTCTTAGAGCTACAGAAAATATACTCGTTGTTTGTCATCCATATTTATTCAGACACATTAATGCATTGGTTGTTTTTATAATAAAATCATTGATTACCAAAGTAAGGGGTAAGTTTGCAACGGCACGATAGATCTGGTAAGCGTCTATAGATCCTTGCGGCTGCTTCAAGCGGAGCAAATGCTTGTTTGTTACGGGATTGAGGTTTGGAGACCACTCCTTGAAATAACTGCCTCTGCACACGACCATTATGGTTTTGACCACTTCTGTCTAAGACTACCTCGTAATTTGATTGTTTCTGGTAATTTGAAAAGTTTGCAAGTGCAAAAAAATTTAATAAATATATATATATATATATATATTATACACACATGTATATGTATATATGTGTGTATAATGAAATAGAAATATATATCACAATCTACGAGTATTAAAGTTTGTTTTTGTTTTATGGGTTAGTTCTTGGCAAGTCTTAGTCAAATAGGGAAGTGGTCACAAGCAGAAATGGTTTATACAAGCACTAGGCTTTACAAGAAGTGATCGAATCCAGAAGAGGTCATATCAAAAAAAGACCAATGAAGGTCCTCAAGCGTCAAACCCATTGTAACACTTTGTAGATCACAAAGATAGATGTAGAGTCACAACACCAATCAGTACATACTTTTCTTCGATGTCCTTCGCTTTGTCGCGGACATCATGTGCAGTGTGTTCCTCATCGAAGTACAGCTTCTTCGTCTTATCCACGTCAGACACGGTGAGCTGCAGCTCCTTGTGTGCCTGAGCTAGGCAGTCCGTGGCCTACAAACAAAATAGAATACTTTAATATTTAACCGCCGCAGCCTCCGCCCGCAATCTTGCCGACGCTATGGTTTGTTTTTTATAGAAACCCGTAGGAACCTAACATTTTCTGGATTAAAAAGTTTCATGTGTCTCAATCCAGGTAATAAACTATTATGTTTCTGCAAAGTTTTTGCGTGATTAAGTAACATACATACAAACTTTGTTATTTATAATATTATTAGACCAAGAGGGCTATGGTGACCATGGCCCAGGCTGCGAGGGGCGGCTGCAAGAACTCCAAAAGGTGGCAGAATCCATATAAGGCGTTCGTGTCTGACCTATATTTTGATGTGATTTACTAATTCAGGAGGGAGGGCGCAAATCCTAAATGGCCTGGGACACCAGGTTTTAAAATACGCCCCTGGATACCATACTCTACCGCATTAAAAGTCTGTAGGTTAGAGTAGAATAGATGACGATAATGATCACGAAAAGATATATCGAATGCCCTTTTATTTTGTTACTTAACCCTTATACAATAACATTATGAAACCATATACAATAGAAAACTAATAATAATTGAACTACAGATAAATGACCATACGAGAACAAAAACTAAAGTCTAAACCAAATCGAAGCGAAAGCCGGGAGGGTATTTAAGTCATTTATTAAATCAAAAAGTATAACGCTACATGTCTCCACTATACTCCACCTAGCATAACAAGCGCATGAGAAACGTATGGGTAACTACACTGTTCACCATTTTAGTGCTTCATTGTTTCAATGTAATAATGAAAAAAAACGTATGGACAAAAGAGAGTTTGGCAAGATAAAAATACCAATAAACCGATAAAAAAAAATTTACAAATCAACACAACATTACAAAATCAATTAATAATAATAAAGCCTTTTATTTTATACGGAAAAAATACATAATAAATTAACCTAACCTTTATTTCAGTTTTTGTTTGGGACAGTCAGGTCTCCTATCTAATGATGAACTCGTATACTTGATAAGACGTTTAATTTCGTATAAATTACAGTAAGTTGAATAAAAGGAAAAATCGTATGCGTATTGTGCGCCGTATAAAATTCGAATGCGCGGGTCTTCTTCGTGGCTTCTTTCATCGGCTTCTTTCACCCGTTACGTTTCGTTTTTCGTCGTTGTGCAAATTGGAAACACAAGCGTCGACATGGCCCCGGCCTTGTAAGCTCCTACTTCCAATCAACAAATCGTATGTATTATAGGAGTGGACATATCTTCGAGAACGCTCGTCGAATGATTCCCGATGAAGTGCGTATGTCAGCCACCCTGGAAACGCCGTCCCTTCCTGGGAACACTCGTTCTACACGTCCCAATCTCCATTGAAGTGGTGGTAGATTGTCTTCTTTGACGAGAACCAAACTCTCAAGGGCGATGTCATCTGCTTCCGTCTTTCACTTTGTCCTCGTCTGAAGCTCCGCTATATATTCTCTAGACCAACGCTGCCAGAAATGTTGCCGAAGTTGCTCCAGTCTCTCGTAGCGAGTCAAGGCATTAGTGTTTGAAGCAGTCAAATCCATCTCAGGTGGCGCAGTCAACGGTCGACCAATCAGGAAATGGGCTGGAGTGAGGGGATTAAAATCGGAAGGATCTGAGGAAATAGGGGACGTTGGACGAGAATTCAGTACGGCTTCAATTTGTGTTAAAATCGTGCTAAACTCTTCGTAAGTTAGTCTCGCGTTCCCTACTATACGTCGCAAGTGATATTTGCACGAACGTACCCCACTCTCCCACAAACCACCAAAATGAGGCGAATATGGCGGAATAAATTTAAATTGAATGCCATCGTTACTTGCAAAATCAGAAATTTCATTAGTATTATTTTTTAAGAATAATGGTAACTCCTTCTCAGCACCCACGAAATTTTTACCGTTGTCTGAGTATATGATATTAGGTTTACCTCTTCGACTAATAAATCGTTTCAATGCTAAGATGTAGTCTTTAGAAGTTAGCGTAGTGACAAGTTCCAAATGTATGGCCCGTGTAGTGAAACATATAAATAAACAAATATACGCTTTGGATAGACGAGACCCTCTCCCCTTTTTATTTAAAATATAAACTGGTCCAGCATAATCAACGCCGGTCTTAAGAAATGGAAAACCAGGGTCGATACGATCACTAGGTAGGTTGCCCATGATTGGACTTAGTGTTTTGGCCTTTAGTCTCGTACAAGTTACGCATTCACGAACGACCTTCCTAACTAAATTCCTACCACTTAATGGCCACCAACATTCACGCATGGAAGCTAAAAGCAGTTGAGGACTAGCATGTAGTAACCGCTTGTGTTCATGCCTACACAACAAAACAGTAAAATAATGTTTACCGCACAGTAAAATTGGATGCTGTTTATTATAATCGAAATGACTGGAATTATTTAATCTTCCACCTACCCTTATAACTTTGCTGTCATCCATAAAACATATGGACGTATATCTATACGTTTATTATTACACGTAGTTATAGGACGACCGTTCACTAAACAATTATAAACGTCGGGTAAAGATTGCAACTGTGCACATCTAACCAATAAGCGCTTCGACTCTGCTAACTCGTCTACCGATAACAAACCGGTTTTACGATCTTGTTTGTGAGCAGTGCGCGCGTTATAAATAAAACGTAGAATGTACGCGCATATCCTTAATAATCTAATCTAAGATGAATATTTATCGAATTGAATTAAATTTGAATTATTAGTGCTAGTTAAAGAAATTATATTATTACTAATTGATTTTAATTCTGATAAATAGATAGATAGAATAGATATATCTGAATTAATCATACAATCATTAAATGAATTTAAACTATCTAAACAAGACGGTCCATGCCACCACAATTTATTGTCAACTAGCGCATCCAGGTAGACACCACGAGACAACAAGTCTGCTGGATTATCTTCCCCGTTTATGTGTAGCCAGACTGAATCTCCTGTGAGTTCGTTGATTTCCACTACACGGTTCTGTACGAACGTTTTCAGTGCATGAGGTTACATTCGAATCCATCCAATGACTATAGTGGAATCAGTCCAGAAGTAAACTTTTGAAAATTTCATTTTTAATGATTCGATAATTTTTCTATATAATCTTGCACCCATCAGCGCTCCACATAGCTCTAACCGAGGGATACTTACGGGCTTTATAGGTGCGACTTTACTTTTAGCAGTAAGCAAATGAGTAGTTCTTTTTGAATTTATGTCATAAGTTGAAACGTACGCGCAGGCTCCGTAAGCCTTTGGAGATGCGTCGGTAAAAATATGCAGTTCCGTATGTTGTGCATGATCACTGGTCACTCATCTAGGAACACGCAAAGTGTGTAATATTCGTAGCGACTCAATAAAACGAACCCAATCACTCGTAATATCTTGAGATATCTGAGTGTCCCAGTCGATCTTACATAACCACAGTTTTTGTAAAAGTAATTTTGAAATAATAACTGCAGGCGATATTAGACCTAACGGATCGTATATTTGCGATATAACCGAAAGCATAATACGTTAAGTCAATTTAGTATCGCAATAATCAATTTTGGTAGTAAAATACCACTGATCTTCATAATTTAGCCAACCCAAACCTAAAGTTTTGTTCTGGTTATACTCGCATGTGGAATTCCTTTGTTTCATCAGAAACAGACGAGTTAAATGTCCATTTTCGTAATGGAAACCCACCACTCAACAAAACCTGTGAAACTTGCTCGCAGGTCTTTGTTAAAGTGTCAAAGTCATCATAGCCACTTATCAGGTCATCAACAAAGAAATCTTCCTTAATAACCCTTGCTATATCGCTATCCCTACACTCATCGGCTAGCTGTCGTATACACCTCATACTTAGATAAGGGGCCGACGCAGTCCCATACGTGACAGTGTTTAATTGGTATGTTTCTAAGGGTTCAGTAAGATTATTACGCCATAATATGAGTTGCAAGGATCTTTGATCAGGTTGAATAAGAACTTGCCTAAATATTTTCTCAACGTCAGCGCAAACGACGTATTTATACTGACGAAAATGCAGCAGAATAGAAAAAATATCGTTTTGTAATGCCGGGCCTGGTTATTGTATGTCGTTAAGCGACTTATTCGTAGTTGTAATGGCACTGGCATCAAATACCACCCTCAACTTAGTGGTGGTACTACTCTCACGCAGTACGCCGTGGTGAGGTAAATAGTAATGAGGCTGTCTGGGCGCGTCTATCTTCGTCATGTGCCCCAAACTTAAATATTCTTGCATAAAATTGCAATAACTACGTTTATATTCGGAGGAACGTTCTAACTTTCGTTCAAGTGATAAAAACCTATTTTTGGCTAATGTATACGAGTCTCCGAGTACATTCGGTGACTCCTTGAGAGGTATACGTACTGAAAACCTACCGCTTATTTCTCGTTTAGTTGAATTATTAAATAAATTCTCACAAATGCGCTCGTCGTTTGTGAGAATAGGCTTATTTAAATTTGGTATGTTTTCTATCTCTCAAAACATTCTCAAATCCGTATCAATATTCTGTACGAAGTTACACTGAACCTGATTAATGCGCAAGTTCTTCGTGTAAATCGGCCCAGATAATAGCCACCCTAACTTAGAATTGCCTAAGTAGGTACCGCTGGGCAATCGTATAATTTTATCCGTATTAATAAGACCCCAGAACGCATGCGTTCCGGGGCTACACTCCGGATGCGGCTTTCGCAGGGGGGGGGGGGCGAGGAGAGTAGCATATTCGGCCTAATTACCATTATAACTTTATTAATATATTATGCTTATATAATTTAATTATTTATGTTACATAGTTTAAGTATTTTAATATTTATATATTTTTGCACTGAACTTCCTTTTTATATACTTTTTGGTAATTTTATATTATTTCAATGTTTTATCCCTCTGGCATCCTTGTACAGGCCCTGCCAGAATACCAGCGCTGTTATGGTGGGAATATTCGTTCCCACGATAACAGCATTAAGCTTAGGCAGGGTCCTGATTGACCATTCTTC